ACAATCCCGCCGGCCCATGACCCCCCTCCCGACCACCCAATAGACCCACCCCAAACCGCATATATTATTAAGAACTCACATACGTGCAGACAAACACACACAAACGCACGCACACAAACTCACACACACTCTCGCACACGGCCGCATACACACACACACGCTCTCATGCACGCTCACACAGATCAGTAAAATAGTAAAACCATAAAGAGAGCTTATGGTTCATATGTAGGGTTCATATGTAACCAGCTGAAAAAGCGCCATCCAAGGAGCCGTCTGCACTAGGAGCAGAGAGCCGCCGCAGCCACAGGGGACGACACAGGACCTAGAGGAGACATGAAGCCGAGGCTCCGAGTCCTGGCCCCCGCCAGGTCCAAGAGCCAGACCCCAGGACCCAGAGGAGACATGAAGCTGAGGCTCCAGGCCCCCGCCGGGTCCAAGAGTCTGACCCCCACAGCCACAGCCGACCACTGCTCCTAGTGCAGAGGGCTCTTCCAAAGGAAACACTGGGGATACGAAATACAATACAATAAAAAAGTAAAATACTAAAATGTGAGACTCAAAGGAAACTATCACAATACATATTAATAGCAATAACAATAATAAATTAAAGCCGCAAGCGGCGATGAAAGGCCTCGCCCCTCTTGCGACCACCTCCTGGGCGCCGGTCCCACAAGCGTCACGGCGACGAATTGGCAGCCCGATCTGACCAGGATTACGAATATAAAAGCTCATTTATATGATAAAGTGCGTCCCTAGTGGTCACCTCCGGGACATGCACCCTCTACGTAGAGTAGTATTTTGCTCGTACAGATGTAAAGATTTGATTTTGCAACTTTGGTGAAGATCGGAAAAGTTTAGGTCAGAAGCCTTCCATAGGTGGCACTGTAGAGTCATATTAGGTGTGTGTTTTCACACCATTACTCTCAGGTCATTACCAACTGTTAGCGATGTAAGTTTCAGCTCTGTAGGTCTGAGCCTGTGGTCAGGAGAGCATCAAACATGGAGAAATTCCCCACTACCTCGCATGAAAACGATAACAAAATTCTAACTTTTATGCGATGATTGCATAACTTCAATCCGTCCAGATGGAGAAATGACATTGTAGAAGTCTGTGCGATGAAAATCCAGGGACTAGTACGAAGCCAAAAATGCAACACCTTGAACTGCCTGTAGGTGGCGCTGTTGCACTCACAGTTGTGTGTTGCATATCGTTGTGTTCAGGGTCATACACTGTATTTCTGAATTCATTTTTAGCCTCATCGGACAAACATTTTGCCCCAAAAAGCTCATTCATTCACTTTCCGGCGCCCCCGGTGGTCAGGTGTAGGACTTACAACTTTTGCGTAATGTAATGTTTTGCTCGTCTCGGTCCAGAGAATACACTCAGCGATTTTTGGGCCGATCCGAGCACTAGTGCCCTATTACTTTCCGACAGGTGGCGCTAAAGAGCTCAAATTGGTCGAATGATTTTAGTTTCATTGCGTTCAGGCCATAACCTAATATTACTGATGTGAGTCTCAGCTCTGTAGGTCTGAGCCTGTGGCCCTCAGGGCTCAGCGAAAATGGCCAAAACGAAGGCCTTATTCGCCATGGCGAGGGACGAAAACGGTGAAGATTTTCTAACTTTTTTTTGATGATTATATAACTTCAATCCCTCCAGATTAGGAAATTACATGGTAGAACTCTGTGTGATGAAAAACCAGGGACTAGATCGAATTTCTAAATGAAAAGTCAAATTAGTGGCGAAACTTTGGCCCATCATGGCCGATTTCCTGTTGGTCCCAGACATGTGCTTAGACCGGCTTTTATGCTCGTCTCATAGAGATCTATCACTCATCCGAATTTCGTGTACCTACTCCAAAATATGCAAGCCTGCCTCCAATAGAAATGGAAAATTTTGTTTTTTCAAGGGGGCGCCATTGATTCGTCTTTTGTCGGACAATCTCGAAACGTCCGTTTTATCACATTTTTCGCCGAACCGGTCGTTTTAGACCCCCCATGTGCAGACTTTCGTGCATGTCTTCAGGGTCAAAAATCAAATTGAAGATGCGGAAAAAGAATAATAATATGAAACCGGTGAATAACAATAGGCCTCCCAAATACTTCGTATTGGCTCGGCCTAATTAAAGCCGCAAGTGGCGATGAAAGGCCTCGCCACTCTCGCGGCCGCCTCCCCGGCACCAGTCCCACAAGCATCAAGCGGCGTACTCGCAGATGAAATCGCAGCCCGATTGGACCAGGATGAGGCACGGAAAAGCTCATTGATAGGGTTCAGTGTGCCCCTAGTGGTCACCTCGGGGACATGCACCCTCTACGTAAAGTAGTATTTTGCTCGCAGGGATGTAAAGATTTGACTGTGCGACTTTGGTGAGGATTGGAAAAGTTTACGTGAGAAGCCTTCCATAGGTGGCGCTCTAGAGTCATATTAGGTGTGTATTTTCACACCATTACGCTCAGGCCATCTGTTAGTGATGTGAGTTTCAGTTCTGTAGGTCTGAGCCTGTGGTCAGGAGAGCAACAAACATGGAGAAATTCCCCACCACCTCGCATGAAAATGATGAGGAATTTCTAACTTTTTCTTGATGGCTGTATAATTTCAATCCGTCCAGAGGGGGAAATTACGTGGTAGAAGTTTCTGCGATGAAAAACCAGGGACAAGTTGAAATTCAAAAACACAACATCTGGAACTGCCTGTAGGTGGTGCTGTTGCACTCACAGTTGTGTGTTTCATATCGTTGTGTTCAGAGTCATACGCTGCATTTGTGAAGTCATTTCTAGCCTAATCGAACATATATTTTACCCCAAAAAGCTCATAAAAAGCCATAACCTAATATTACTGATGTGAGTCTCAGCTCTGTAGGTCTGAGCCTGTGGCCCTCAGGGTTCAGCGAAAACGGCCGAAACGAAGGCCATATTTGCCATGGCGAGGGACGAAAACGGTGATGATTTTCGAACTTTTTTTTGATGATTGTATAACTTAAATCCGTCCAGATTTGGAAATTACATAGTAGAACTCTGTGTGATGAAAAACCAGGGACTAGTGGGAACTTAAAAATGAAAAGTCAAATTAGGGGCGAAACTTCAGCCCATCATGGCCGACTTCCTGTTGGTCCCAAAGAGAGGCCCAGAGAGAGTTTTATGCTCGTCTCATAGAGATCTATCACTGATCTGAATTTTGTGTACCTACTCCAAAATATGCATGCCTGGCTCCAATAGGCTGCAAATTTGAAATTTCGAAATCGTGTTGGCGTTAGTCGGACAATCTCGAAACGTTCATTTCATGAAATTTTTCGCCAAACCGGTTGTTGTAGATCCCCGATGTGCATACAAAAATCAAATTGATCTCGCGGTAAAAAAATACATGAAACCGGGGAATAACAATATTTAAAGCTAAACTCAAATGTGTCTAAAAGATAAATAGAATCTTTAAAATGGAATAATAAATACTAATCAAAAGCTAATCTAAAAAGGTGCGTCTTGAGGATGCTTTTAAAAATATGAATGTTCTCTGCGGCCCTGAGCTCCTCCGGCAGACTGTTCTAGAGACGGGGGCCGTAGTGCTGGAAAGATGCCTCGCCGTGAGTGTGTGTCCTGATTTTTGGAATGATTAGGAGTCTGCTGCCGGAGGAGCGCAGGGGGCAGGAAGGTTCATATGGTAAAAGCAGTTCTGAAAGATAAGAAGGCCCAAGGCTATTAAAACATTTAAAGACCATTAAAAGAACCTTAAAATCGATCCTGAAACCCACGGGGAGCCAATGCAGCGATTTTAAAACCTGTGTCATGTGATCATGTGGTCTTAGTCAGGACACGTGCTGCCGAGTTTTGGAGTAATTGTAGACCTGAAATGTTCTTTTTGGGAAGACCAGAGAGCAGGGCATTACAGTAGTCAATGCCACTGGTGATAAAAGCATGCATCAGCGTCTCCGTGTTGCCCCGAGAGAGAATGGGGCGGACTCTGGCGATGTTCTCCAAATGATATAAACCTATGATATAAAAGTCAGCTCGGAGTCAAACATTGCGCCCAGGTTTTTCACTTGTGATGATGGATTAAAAAAGTGTGATTGGTAAAAGTTTATCTCTCTGGGCCTCAGGGTCGATTACTAAAACCTCAGTTTTGTCTTGTTTAAGCTGAAGAAAGTTTTCCGCCATCCAGGATTTCAGGTCTAAAATGCAGTTAAAAAGAGCATCCATTGGCCTGGTGTCATCAGGAGACATGGAGATGTACAGCTGTGTATCATCTGCAAAACTCTGGAAGTTAATTCCATGTCTCCTGATGACACCGCAAAGAGGGAACATGTGCAGGTTAAAAAGGACTGGACCTAAATTGGAACCCTGGGGCACACCTCATGTGGTTTTATGGACCCGAGAGGAGCAGGTATCCAAACTTACCATGAAGGATCTGTCTATTAAATAAGAAGTGAACCATATGTGGACAGCACCAGAGAGGCCAAGGTGTTTTAGCAGTGTCTGTGCTGTGGTTCATCCTAAAACCTGATTGATTTTTTTCTAAAATGTTTTGGTCGTTTAAAAAGGCATTGAGCTGAATAAAAACAAGTTTTTCTAAAATGTTGCTTAAAAATGGTAAGTTGGATACCGGTCTGTAGTTGTTTAAATCTTTACAATCTAAATTGCTCTTCTTCAGAAGAGGTCTCACCACAAACACATTGTCAGAGGGATTGCGAATGTGTATGTTAAAATAACCGGTTAAAATGATCATATTGTAAGTGTAAAGAACAGCAGTTCTTTACGTATGTAAAAATCACACTGCACTTTATTCATTTACCTTTTCAACGTCACATTGCACTTTAACACATCCACGGTGTTATCTTGGTTTGCCTTTTTGCACCCTTTTGTTTTTGTTTGCACTTGGTCACTTAAAAAAAAAATTAGAAAAAAAAAAGTGAACCAAGCCTGCTCACTGCCATCCAGCCGCTCAAGGCCTGTCCTGCTAACAATTGGTGTCAGAAGTGCTGCCCTGCCACAGTGAGTAGATCAAGATAATGACTAGAGGAGAAAAAAGGGATGAGGAACCAGATCAAGGAAATATCGACACATCTGATCCTCAAGGGGCCACCAGTGCGCACAGTGATAAAGTGGAGGAGCTGACTGCTCTCGTGAAAGCATTGATCGAGAAGCAGGATGCTAGAGACAAAAAGCATGATAAAGATCAGCTTCAACAGGAGCAACGGTGGAAGACCATGCAACGGCAGGTCCAGCGGGTCCAGCAGCAGCAATATGGAAGGTCCGAGCACTTTGAGTTGGATGTGCGAGGACAAATGGACACACCTTTTGACGACGGCCCAGGTGATTGTGACGATGAGGCAGACCCAGGCGGCTATAGCTACAGACCTCAGAGGGAGCCCACACTGCCGTGTTTGAAACCAGATGACATCGAACATTTCTTGATGACTTTTGAGCGGATGGCCAGAGTGTCAGTGGCCAAAAGAAGAATGGGCGGTCCGTTTGGTCCCATTATTGCCCGGGAAGGCACGCAGCACTTTTGTGCAAATGGACATTCGGCACTCAAACGTATATGGAAGAGTAAAGGACGCCATATTAGCAAAATATGAGATCACAGAGGAGACGTACCGTCAACGTTTCAGGTCCCTTCAACTTGAGCCAGAAGAGACGCCACAGGAGCTGTACGTACACCTCAGGGACTTGTTGAACCGTTGGCTCCAACCTGGGAAGGCGTATGAAGAGAAGATTTGGGAGAAGCTCATCCTGGAGCAGTTTCTCCGAATGGTTGACCCCGAGCTTGAAGGGGGCGCACCACACCTGTGCTAGTTGATGGCCACAAAGTTAAAGCATTGTTACCCAACAGCTCAGGTCTATGTAACAGTAGGAGGTCAAACTTACCTTAAATGTTGCCTTAGCAGAAAACTTACCTTTTGAGGTCATCCTAGGAAATGACATTCCAACGTTACTTGATCTCATGTCACAGGTAACTGAGAAACTACCTGTTGAACCAGTTAACTCTGTTAATGTCCTCACAAGAGCACAGAAAGCAAAAGCTATTCTGGAGGAGCTCCCTTTTTGGGAGGAAGAACTTGAAGCTTTGCCTGGAAAGTGTAGGAAACCCAAAGCGCAGAAAAGGCAAGAAAAGTTTGCAGGCTCTCCCAAAGGGGACACACAGTTGTCAAAACCACTCAGCCCAGTTGAATTTGAGATCCCTCAGACATAGGGACACTCCAGAAACAAGACGTATCCCTAAAACCCTGTTTTGAAAATGTGTCTATTCAGCAGAGGGGGATAAAAAGTGGGGATGAGACAGAGTACAGGATCAAAAATGGTATCTTGTATCGGTTTAATGGGAAAAGTGAAGCTCTTGCCTTACCTCATCAGTTTAGACAGCAGGTAATGGAACTGGGCCACTCCATTACCTGGGCTGGTCAAATGGCTTTTCAAGAAACACTGCACAGAATCGGCAGTCGTTTTGCCTGGCCTGGTATATACACCCAGATATCAAATTTCTGCAAAACCTGTGAAAAATGTCAATTGACTGCAGGAAAAGGGGTTGGTTACGCCCACTTGCAGCCTCTGCCCATTATTGGTACCCCATTTGAACGAATTGGAATGGACATTGTGGGTCCTTTGGAGAACAGTTCCTCAGGAAACCGTTTCATTTTGGTCCTGTGTGACTATGCCACAAGATACCCAGAAGCGTTTCCATTGCGCTCAATCAAAGCTAAGCAAATTGCAAATTGTCTTTTGCAGCTATATTCCAGGGTGGATGTGGCAAAAGACATTCTGACCAATTTTATGTCTAAACTGTTGAAGCAAGTTTACCACCTATTGGGGGTCAAGGGGATCAGGACCACACCTTATCACCCCCAAACGGATGGGCTGGTGGAGCTTTAAACCCATACTCCAATTAAATTGGAGTATTTGATGGGGGGATTGCTGAGAACCTCAAAGAGCACCCCTGCTCTTAAGACTCTGGATGTTCAAGGACTGTCAATCAATCAATCAAAGTTTATTTGTAGAGCGCCTTTCATACACAGGGCAACACAAAGCGCTTCACAGTCCACATCACAAATCATCACATAAAACAAACACCAGAATCACAATTAAAACATTAAAATCACACAAAAGATTAAAACACAATTAAAACATTAAAATCACACAAAAGAATAAAACCATTAAAACTTTCAAAATTACACAAGAAATTTAAAAAAAATAAATAAATGACAGCAGTGCATTAGAAATGGAGATAAAATCCTTCAGTTGTATGCACAGGCAAACAGAACAGTCTTTAACCTGGATTTGAACATTGACAGAGTAGACGCCTCCCTCACATTTTCAGGGAGATTGTTCCAGATCTTAGCTGCATGGATCTGAAACGCAGCCTCCCCATGTTTGGTTCTCACTCTGGGCACCAGCAGGAGGCCAGTCCCTGTGCTCCTCAGAGTCCGGGCCGGTTCATATGACACCAACATGTCACTAATGTATTCTGGTGCAAGGCCATGGAGAGACTTGTACACAAGCAGAGCCGTTTTAAAATCTATTCTTTGAGCCACAGGAAGCCAGTGCAGAGACCTGAGGACCGGACTAATATGGTCATACTTCCTGGTTCCTGTCAGGACTCTAGCTGCTGCATTTTGGATGTACTGCAGCTGCTTACAGGTCTGTTTGGACAGACCTGTAAGCAGGCCATTGCAGTAGTCTAGCCTGCTAGAGACAAATGCATGGACAAGAATCTCCAAGTCTGCCCTGGACACTATATTTCTAACTTTGGCAATGTTCTTCAGATGGTAAAAAGCTGTTGATGTTATTGATTTTATGTGGCTATTGAAATTTAGGTCTGAGTCCAGTATTACCCCCAAATTTCTGACCTTGTCTGAAGGAAGTAGGGAGAGAGACTGAAGTTGACAAATGACGCCCTCTCTTTGTTTCTGGGGACCAAAGACAATGATTTCGGTTTTGTCTGCATTTAGCTGGAGGAAATTATTTTGCATCCAGTCACTGATCTGTTGGATACAGTGAAGGAGCAAATCCAGTGGTCCATGTTCTCCTGCAGTCAGTGAGACATAGATCTGAGTGTCGTCGGCGTAATTGTGGTAGGACACTTTGTTTCTTTGTATTAACTGACCTAACGGCAGCATGTAGAGATTAAATAGGAGAGGTCCCAGGATCGACCCCTGTGGTACTCCACAGGTCAGGGCCACATCATCTGAGACGCAGTCTCCAATCTCCACAGAGTACTTCCTATCCTCCAGGTAAGACCTAAACCAGTCTAGGGCTGTGCCAGTGACACCAACCCAGTCCTCCAGTCTCTGCATGAGGATCTCATGGTCGACAGTGTCGAACGCGGCACTAAGATCTAACATGACCAAAACTGTGACTTTACCTGCATCAGTGTGAAGTCGAATGTCGTTTGTTACCTTCACTAGAGCGGTCTCAGTGCTGTGGTGGGGTCTAAACCCAGACTGGAACATATCAAAAGAATTATTCATTGTTAAAAATTCAGTAAGTTGTTGGGAGGCCACTTTTTCAAGAATTTTTCCAATGAATGGCAGATTCGATATGGGGCGATAATTTTGAAGTCCCGCAGGATCCAGACTGCTCTTTTTTAGGAGAGGTCTTATGACTGCTGTTTTTAGGGCCATAGGAAATGTTCCTGACGACAGAGACATGTTTACTATTTGTGTCAGTGAAGGTAACAAACTGCTCAGGACGGACTTCAGAAATTTAGAGGGCAATATATCCAGGCTACATGTGGAGGAGCTCAGACTCATGATTATCTTTTTGACAGTTTCAGTATCCACAGGTGCAAAGTGAGTTAGCTCAAAAAGCTTCTCTGGCTGTTGCATTGTTATACGTGCTGTGGAGGTGATAGTGTTTTTGATTCCTTGTACTTTGTCATTGAAAAACTGTGCGAACTCATTACACCTAGATTTAGAGGAAAATTCTAGGGGCAACTTTACAGGGGGGTTCGTTAATCTACCAACTGTTGAAAACATAACACGAAAATTGTTACTGCAACCTCCAATAATGTCAGAAAAATACATTTCTCTTGTTCTACGTAGAACCCGGTTAAATTCACCCAACTCATCTTTAAAGATTTCATAATCGCCCTGGAAATTGGACTTTCGCCACTTCCGTTCGGCCCTCCGGCACTCTTGCTTCTGTGCCCTGACCGAGTCTGCCTTAGTCCATGGGGCCTTTTTCTTACTGGTAACTATTTTAACCGTCACAGGAGCAATGGCGTCCAGAACAGTCAGAACACTGGTGGTGACAGAGTTATACAATTCATCAACAGTAGAGCATGGAGTTTTCTCAAAATTTAGCATTCCCATGAACAGTTCACTTGTGTTTTCATGTATGTGTCTTCTTCTAACAATTGTAAATTCAGCTGGTGGTTTGCTAGCAAAACACATGTCAAAAAATACACAGAAATGATCTGACAAAGCAACATCAACTACATTAACATTTGATACATTAACCCCCTTTGTAATTAGCAGGTCAAGAGTGTGCCCCCTGCTGTGGGTGGGGCCACTCACGTGCTGAATGAAACCAAAGGTCTCAAATACAGAAGCCAGCTCCTTTGCATTTCTGTCATCAACATTATCAACATGTACATTAAAATCACCTGTAATAACTAAACTATCAAAATCTGTGCACACGAATGAAAGTAGTTCAGTAAAATGGTCAATAAAATCGCAACATGACTGTGGTGGCCTGTACAGGACAATGAAAAGAGTAGAAGATTGCTTTTGTTCCATTTTAAAAGAAATATACTCAAACGATGAAAAATTTCCAAGGGGCATTCTATGGGAGACAAAGTGCTCTCTAAAAACTGCAGCTATGCCTCCCCCCCTTTTGTTTTCTCGTATTTCGGATTCGAATTTAAAATTGGGTGGTGTTGCTTCTATTAGAACTGCATTTCCTGTATTTTGGTCCAGCCATGTTTTCAGCCATAAGCATAAAATCAAGATCATAAGAAGTGATAAAATTATTAATAAAAAATGATTTGTTACATAGAGATCTGACATTAAGCATAGCAAGTTTAAAAATAACGTCAGAGTCGATTAATGTGGTTGATTGATTTCTACAGGGAACAGAAATTAGATTTGCAGAGTTGGACCGTCTAACTGCTGTCCTGTTTTGATTTCGTTTTTTAGAATTTAAAAACATTTTTGAGCTGGTGCGAGGAACACACACAGTCTCAATTGGCCTAAAATGTGAAAACCCTTGTTGTTCTTTAGCTCCCAGAGTCAGAAGGGAGTCAGCACAGTTCAGTGTTTGAACTGGTAATGCACTGCCAGACGGACAGGGAGCAGTGTTTGCACCGTTGTACTCACCCGGTGCTGGTGAGCAGGAGGCGGGGGAGTGCGGTGGGGTCCGAGGGGGCTCAGATGTAAACAGTCACGCCCCCCTCGGGGAACGTTGAACAACATGACGCATGTAATCCATCAACAGGCTGCTACCGTATCTGTTTGGGTGTAATCCGTCTGGACGATAGGCTTCGTAACGTTTCCAGAAAAGGGCAAAGTTATTCACAAAGACAAAGTTAAAAGAGCTGCATGTAGCCTGGAGCCACATATGCAGCGCCACAACACGACTGTAGGGGCAGTCACCTCTGCTTACAGTCGGGATTGGACCAGAAATAAAAACAGATAGTCCGGAGGATTGAAGGAGGTGGAACAGATCCATAAAATGTTTCTTCGTGACTTCTGACTGCTGAAGTTTCATGTCGTTAATTCCCACATGCACGACTACCTTGGAAACGGTATCAGGCAGGGACTGAAGCAGAGGAGGGAGACGTATGAGCAGGTCTGGTACAG